AGCAAGAAGTTAGGTTTTGATAGCAGGTGCATTACTATTAACCCCTCTGGGCTTAGTGGGGAGCTTGCTTTATTTTGGAATTCTAAAGTTGTGATTAACCAGATTCAGTGTAAAGACTTTTTCATTGCAGTGGAATTCAACATCAACTCCTCTACACCCCATTGGGGGATTTTTGTCTACTGCAACCCTTTGAAATCAGCAAGGCTCTCTCAGTGGGAAACTCTTTTGGATGAAAAACCAGCTTGGGGCCTCAGTTGGTTTATAATAGGAGATTGGAATGATATCCTCTCCCATGAGAAAAAATCTGGAGGTGTATGCAGAAGCCCTAACTCCTTTCGGGGGTTCTCTTCTTTCATCAACAACATGGCCATGGTGGAAATTAAAATGCAAGGTCCTACATTCACTTGGTGCAACAACAGAGCTTTTCCAGAGTTGGTTGAGGAGAAGCTGGACAGGGGTTTCTGCTCTTTTGACTGGTCTATGAAATTTCCCAATGCTACTGTCACAAATGTATTAAGGAGTGCTTCAGATCATACAGCTCTCTTGCTTAATTTGGGCCTCCCCAAGGAAAACAAGAAAGGCATCTTCCATTTTGACAGAAGATGGATCAGCTGTGAGGGATGCCAAGAACTAGTTGAGCAGGCATGGAACACTGAAGTCCATGGTACCCCCTTCTTTCAACTCAAAGAAAAAGTGAAGCTTACTAGAATAGCCCTTCTCAAATGGAGTTCTTCTTTTCAATCTCAAAGACATAAAACTATTGCTGAACTCACTCATAAATTGGAGTCTCTGAATGAAGATAAGGCAAGCATTAACTGGTCTGATTGGGAAGCTACTAAGAGAGGGTTGAATTTTGCTCATAAGCAAGAGGAGTTATACTGGCAACAGAAGGCAAAATCCAGATGGCTCAAGGAAGGTGATGCTAACACAAGGTTTTTTCATGCCCTTACCTTGCAAAGGAGGAAGACAAATGCCATAACCAGACTGATCACTTCTCAAGGCATCACTCTCACTTCTCAAGCAGAGATTGAAAAACACATTTCTGACTTCTATGCCAACCTTTTTTCTACTGATGTTTGTTGGGGAGGGGACTCCATTGTCCCTCTCATTCCTACTTCTATCACTGCTGAGATGAACCAGGCTCTTCTTAAGCCGGTAGAGGCTGAGGAAATTAAATCTACTCTCTTCTCCCTTGACTCTGACAAGTCCCCTGGAGAAGATGGCATGACTGCCATTTTCTATCAACATTTCTGGGAAGTCATTAGCTCTGATTTGATAGCTGCAGTCTGAAGTTTTTTCTAGTCAGGTATGCTTCTAAAATACTGGAATCACACTATCATTTCCCTAATTCCAAAGTGCTCTAATCCTGAATCCCTGGGGCAATTCAGGCCCATAAGTCTGTGCAGTGTGGTGTACAAGCTCATATCAAAAATTCTTGCTCAAAGACTTAAGTTATGTTTAAACTGTTGTATTAGTGACTTTCAAGCTGCTTTTGTGGAGGGTAGACAGTTAATGGATAATATTATTATAGCCCAAGAAGCCTTCCACTTTCTCAACAGGCATGCCTCTGGTAAAAATTACTTCATGGCTCTAAAATTAGATTTAATCAAAGCCTTTGATAGAGTGGAGTGGGTTTGTCTGAAGAAGATAATGCTGCAAATGGGCTTCAGTATTGATTTTGTAAAGCTGATCATGATTTGTGTCTCCTCAGCAACTTTTTTTGGTCAAATTAAATGGAACCCTTAGTGGTTTTATCTTTCCTTCTAGAGGAATTAGGCAAGGGGATCCCCTATCCCCTTACCTGTTTATCATAGTTGCAGAGGTGCTTTCAGCTTTAGTTCAGAACTCCTTGAATGTTGGTGAGTTCAAAGGAATGAAGATTTCGAGGAATGGCCCAATGTTATCTCACCTTCTTTTTGCAGATGACTCCTTGTTTTTTTGTAAGGCTGAGGCTGTGCAAGCAAGCAGAATCATGAATATTCTTGAGCATTACAGATTGTTCACTGGCCAAGCTGTGAACTTGCAAAAGTCAGCCATTTTCTTTAACAAGAACACCCCTGAGGCTGTTAAACTCTCTATCTGCTCCTCCCTCAGAGGCATAGTTACCCACAGATCTACCAGATACCTTGGGTTACCCCTTAGTATTGGCAGAGCCAAAAGAGAAGTCTTTGATTACTTGCTGTCTTCTGTCAAAAGCAAATTATTGAGCTGGAAATCCAAATTACTAAGTCCTGCTGGCAAGGAGGTGCTGTTAAAAGCTGTCATCCAAGCATTGCCCACCTTTGCTATGTCCTGCTTCAAGTTGCCTATTCCTTATGCTCTGATATATCAAAACTCTGTGCTCATTTCTGGTGGCAATCTGGTAGTGAAAGTTCTCAGGGCATACATTGGAAGAAATGGAGCATGTTAACTCTTCCAAAGCAGAATGGGGGTTTTGGCTTCCTAGACTTGCAGCTCTTCAATAATGCCCTCATCTGCAAACAGTTATGGAGACTTGCAACAAATCCCAATCTCTTGGTAAGCAGAATCTTGAAGGACAGGTACTATCCCCACTCCTCTATTATTTTTGCTGGTAAATCACAAGGAGGGTCCTGGTTGTGGAACTCCTGGATGGATGTAATTCCTTTCTTCTCAAAGTGGTTGAAGATTGAGGTTAGGAGTGGGGCTGACACTAGAATTTCAGACCTGAACTGGGTTCCTTCCCTTAATAAACCAACTCCAAATCTCATTCCTATAGCTAGAGAGCACTTGATTTGGGTAAAAGAACTGATTTTGGCAGATGGGTTTCATTGGAATGATTGGTTGGTCTCTCAAGTTTTTGATGCTGATGACTGTAAGGCTATTCTCAAGATCAAGTCTCTGTATCCAGATAGAGCGGATAGATTTTATTGGGGTTTAGATAAAAAAGGATCTTTCTCAGTTTCTTCCACCTACAAGCACCTCTCTCATCTTAAGTTGTTGAAGGCTGATATTCCAGAAACCAGCTCCAACTCCAAGCAGAACTTAGACATCAAAGGAAGATTTTGGAAGCTAAAAGTTGCTGGTAAAATTAAATTCTTTCTGTGGAAATGTCTTAACAACTCCCTCCCAGTGGCTGTCCTCCTTCAAAGAAAGGGACTGGAGCTTGATTCTATTTGTTCTATCTGTGGGGAAGCTCCAGAAACTATTGAGCATGTCCTTTTTGGCTGTTCAAGAGCTATTAACCTCTGGAAGCACAGTCCTGTGAGCTGGGAAGGCCTTTTCAGTTGCACTAACTCATTTAGAAACTAGTGGTTCAATATATGCTCCTTGGATCACTCTGAAGTTGCTGAAGCCCGAATTTAACTCTCAACCTACATGCTTTGGTGGCTTTGGAAATCCAAGAATCTCTGGATCTTCAAAGGAACTCTAATTCTTGAGCATTCTCTGTCCAGCATTGCCCTTGCTGACTGGATGGACTTCATTGCTGCTTCTGCTTAGTTTAGTTTGGTTGTTTGGGTTTTATTTTTCATTTTGGTTCTGCTTTTTCTTGTTTTTGTTCCTTTTTAGTATTTTGGTTTGTATCTCAGTGCTAGGCTTTGTAGCAGTGGTGTTGAGTTGCTTTCCTTAGTTTGCAGCTGTTTAGATTTGCTTGTTGAGGATCTAGACCACCTTGGGTGGATCTCCCATGTTTTAGTTTCCTTTGAGTTGCTGTTGGACTATTGTATTCGAACTTTGTTCGCCCTGTTTTTTAATAGTTGAATCTATCGT